AGTCGAAAGCTCTATTGCTATAGAACAGTTTAAAAGAAAAAAATCCTTGTATGAAGCACTTTTGAACCAAAACAAATCATTTAAAAGTGTCTAAAATGCTAACCAATCTATCACAGTAAATTATTAAAATATAAAAACCACAGCTTACATAAACTTACACCCTCAGCTTACAACACCTCCACAAGAAAAAAAGCCTTGGCCCAAATCTAACCAATCTAATAATATTTTTTAAAAATCACAGTTAATTATTAAAATATAAAAACACAGCTTAACACCCCTGCTCCTGAAAAGCTAACCAAAGCAATTCAAATGTAAAAAATATACTATTTTTCAATATGCTCTATTTTGATAAATCTTTCTAATAAAACAATGAAAGTGTGAGAATTCCGAGGAAACATAGTCTATAAAATGAATAACTTTTTGGTGCGTTATTATTTTTACCAGCAAGCAATAATAAAATCCCTCTATCCAAAAAGTTACTGATATTCTTTAAAATGAGTGCCCTAGACGAATGAAAATGAATAACTCTTTTTACTTTCATAGCAAATAGAAAAGGAAAATAATAAAACAAGTGACAGTTCTTCCTCTTCTTGCAAAAATCGACGCGAAATGTCATAATTGACAAAAGTAAAATTTCATCAGCTTTTGACATTTCTAAATATCAGCTCAATGCCGTCTCTAATAGACAGCCTCGGAGCGAGATTTATGACGTCACGCTAGTTAGATACCACGGATTAATAAATATGTTGTAGAATCCATGGAAAACATAATTATTCCTCGTATTTTTGGTTTGTATTTTAAAAATGATATAGTTTACATGAAATATACATAATATACAGTTAATAAATACAATATATATATATACCTATTTATAGTAATAAATACTTTGGCAAATAAACTATGAACCATACAAATGCAGTAAATGTTTTACAATATACAAATAATGAATAGGTACATAAGATAATGGGTAAAATGTAAAATATATTTTAAATTTTGGGATTTGAAAATCGATCCAATTTAACAAAAAACATTCAATATCTACTAATAGTGATATATTATTATTTGCATTCACAAAATTTATATGTATATTTTGAAAGCATCAATGTTTGAAAAATTTATATTTGCAAATAATACAATATCATGAAAAAAGGCGTCAGCGATGGCTATGAAATAAAGATCGCTGTCATTTTATATGTAAAATTATTCTAGATTTTGATTTCTTGGGATTTAGGTTCGGGAAAAACGCTGATTTTGATAATTTTTTTTGTTTAAAAAAAAAACGTTATAGCTAAGGTTTATAGCCTTCATCAGTGTTGTGTCATATGATTATTTATTTTATTAGTCATATAATCCATAAAATTACATATACGAGGAATAATTATGTTTTCCATGTATTCTACAACATATTTATTAATCCGTAGTATCCAACTAGAGTGACGTCATAAAAGTCGTGGCTGTTCTATTAGAGACGGCATTGCATCATCATGGCCGCAAGTTGCTAACTTAATAAAATTAGCACTAGGAAAGCCCGCGGGAACTGTCAAATTCAAAGTTAATCGTTTCACAGACTATACCTAAAGCTTACTAGAGCCAGCACAAGTTTTTGAAACACTCTGTATAAACTCAGTGATATTTATGTAATATTTATTTATTTAAGGTTGTGTATTCCATTAGTATTTTTAATTATTATTTATGACTGCACTGACTACACAGGAAGTATACTTTTCAAAATGTCATGTTACTTTACGAAATCTTCGGTTCCTATATTTTTAACATATTTTACCCCCTCATCAGTCAAGTATTTTGTTTCCACATATCAATATATATTATAGAAAAACATTTTATTGTTAACCTAAACTATCATTTTAACGTATACCTACCTTACTTTCTCAACTGTATAACATTAGTATGATGGAATCCACTGAAAGCCAACTACTGCTATGATTATTTTATATTTCATAATCGAACAGAGTAAATATCTCAGAATTAACAAAACATACGGCGTCATACCTTCACGGAATCTTAGCAACGACTGAAATATTCTAGCTAAGAATCACTATCAATATTTTTTCTAATTACATAACACATTATCGTTTACGCACAATCGGGACAATAATAATATTCAAACAGTAATAAAATATATAGTTCTTCTCCGAAAAGTATTCTGTTCCATGGATGCTGAAAAATGCCACTCCCTTATTATTAACACCTGTTCCATAATAATTATATTTTTTTATAAGAACCACTGTATTATAAATCACTAATGCGTACGCATAAAAACTATTATTTTAATTTTTATTGTAAAACAATAGTTTAATGGAGATGAATTGTTATACAGGGTGGTAGATCTCCATAAAAGAAACATATTTTCTCTTTGCCGTTTCTGAAATAAGACCAAAATAATAAAGATATTTTACTTTAAAATTACAAAAAGGGTTAAAATTCTGGGTTTTCATTCTTGTAAATTTAATCTAACACCTATATTACCATATGAAGATATTTTTTAACTAAAAAATAAATAAATTTCCAAAAAAAAAATTAAAAAAATTCAATTTTTAATTTTTTTTTCGCGAAAAAAACCTGATAGACGTGTTTCTTGGGTAGAAATATACGGATACTACCCCAAAAACTATTTGCACTTGTATATTCGTTTAAAAATAAATATTTCTAAAATTAGAACAATAATAATTATCGTTCCCCTATACTATACT